AGTTCTGTTTCAATTCAGATTTGGAACATTTATGACCTTTAACTCATATCTGATTGTTTTGCAGTGGTTTATTGTATATTATGCTGAGCACCAGTCATCAGAGGTAGATATGTGCTTTATTTGTCAGCAAGAGTTCTGCTGATCAGATGAAAAATACAATGCAGAATGGCATCAAGAGGTTGGAGCCTTGTGTAAAATGCCACTGCAGCTGAGTCGTCTGTGCTTTCACTAAATAAAGAATAGAAGCCCCATGGGACAGCAAGAAATCTCTCTGTGTGTCTCTCTCTCACACCCCTATATTCAATACTTTTTCTTTCTTTCTTACATTATATTGCTAATGGCAAGCATATATATATATATATATATATATATATGCATATGCTTCTGGCTGTGTGGCTTTCATCCACTCCAAATATGTCTGGGAGATTCTATGCAATCTAACAATCTAAGTTTAAATAATAATTGATCAAAATACATTTTAGAAAATATAAATATAGTATAGTAAGCTTAGTTCTTGTAAAAGGATAAAAAAAAAAAATCTAATCTTCTTATGGTTTATATTGCAGTGTCTGCATATCTTCTGCTCTCTCCAAGATTTTTGAAGTGCTTCTCTCTCAATTTCTAGATCAAGTCCATATTTTCAGAGGATTTTTCTCTTGTTAAATTGTTTAATGTTAATCTATATTAAAATGGCCTTGGGGTCTCTGAACAGTGCTCAACAGTTAAGAGGGAGTAAAAGGGTTCAGAGGTTATGATTTTTCCTAGCTAACTTACGATTCTTTCCTAACCAAGTTGGGCAAGACTCCAAATTTCTTCCCATAATTTGTTTCTCTTCTTATTTAGGCGACTTGCATCTCTGTGGTGTACTGATCTTTCTTGGTTTGAACAATCTGTTTTCCATATTTAGAGTGAAGGTCATGAGCCTAGACACCATTTTTACCCAGTTACCGATATCTGTGTCCGTCTGTTAGGTGGCACGGCTGGCCTTGGCTTTTGCTGAAGCCATTTGGTTATATAGTAGACTCATTTTGTGAAGAAAAAGGGTTTGAAAAGGGTATAAGCTACTTTTTCTCCTCTCATACATTTTTTTCATGTCTCATGACTTTTATCTGCTCAAACAGACACGGAGTAGCCGCTACTACCAACATGACTCAAACTGACAGCTTATTTGTCGCCCTGCTTCAGGGAAGAGGCCTGTTTTACACTAGGCAAAGCTATCAAAGGAATATGAATATGCAAATGAAACCCATCATCTCAAACCTACCTAGACCTGCACAGGAAACACAGCAGCATCTGACAGAAGGAAATGGCCGTAATTATGTAAAATGTCAACGTGAGGGACAATGTTTTGCAACGGTGACTTATAATCATGGCCGCCCTCTGTCAGTTGCTGTCTTCCGCCTTGCATTCGTTAAGCAAATGTAAGCACTGAGCCCTTTATTAATTTTATAAATGTCTGTCGCCTAATGTGACGCAGCCCATGTACGTTCTTTTGGTTTCAAAGGTAATTAAGTCATGGTGTGAGTCAATCTCCCATTTTTGAGAGTGTATTGACTGTGCTAAATTAATTCTGGAAGTCATTTTAGAGATGTGCTTATTGTCTTTAGACCACTATTTTGTCTATGATTCAGTGTATGCCTTTGTATAAGCTCAGGATATGACTGATTACTTGGTTACATGGTAGAATAAAGGGATACAATCTTCAATAAAATGCTAAATAAGAACAACAACAACTGTAAACACATATTCCATGTGATCAGCTGTCTAATGAAATGATTTACTTCACATTAAAGGAATAGTTCATCCAAAATAAAATAAAAATAGTCATTTACTCATCATCAAGTTGTTCCAAACCTGTATGAGTTTCTTTCTTCTGTTGAACACAAAATAAAATATTTTGAAGAATCTTGGTAACCAAGCAGTTGCCGGTATAGTCACTGACTTCCAAAGTATATTAGATATATTTTCATTTTTGGGCAAAATATCCCTTTAAGTTGAATCAGTGGGGAAAACTAAACATGATGTGCACATATTTATTTTTACATATTTAATCAGTATAAAATAAACAAATTAAAATATAAGAACAAAATAAAATATTATAAAATAAATGTAAAATATAAAAATATATTTGTATTGAATTTTTATATATTTAACAAGTACAAAAATAGGAAAATAAGCATGAATGAAAATGTTTACTAAAGCATGATGTCATTCAAATGTATTTATTTATTTACAAACCATAGATAGTTTTAGTATTTAAAACGTTTGAATGCAGTGAGAATACGATAACTATAACAACAATGATAAAGATATTATTTTAAAAATTGCTCTAAATTTTAACAATATACTATGATAACTATAAACTAATAACTAACGATAACAGCACAAAGGAGTGGTATCATTGTAATTGCTTTCAGATTAATTTTTTTTCTAGCTGGTGAACAATACAATCATTGACAGTCAATCAGATTCTATCCTGCTCAAGTATTTAATGCGGCAGATGACAGAACTGCAGTGCACGCTTACAATAAACAGAATGTCATTGTCCGTTGGTGTGCTGATATAGTTATCATTATAGTTGTCTTTATGGTTATCATTGATGGTGTGAACGGGCCTTTAGACCTAAATAAGCCCAGGCAGCTGTATATGAATGTGTATTTGCTAGATTAAGAGGGTGACACATCTTACCCCACCCTCCCTTACGGTGCCACCATAAAGTGCAGAAAAACACAGTGAAAGCACATTTTATAAGCTTTTGTTCTTTTGTTGAGGTGTTTCACGGGGTCAGCACTGTGAATGTGTGATGCGTGTGCATGCATGAGTGTTTGACGTTCTGGATGGCTGGTTCAGCAGCTCCCACTGTCTTCTCACTGACCCTGAGGCTAAAAGCTCTCACAGATCATAGTGCCCAAGGTCAGGGTTGAAAACTATCAAACACAATCCCACCCGGCTTAAAGCCTCGAAGGCCGATTGAGTCCCGCTTGTTGACACAAAAGAGAAGTAAACACAACATCACGGGGGTCGGGAAGACAAACAATTGAAGGGCTTTTGGAAAATGAGCATAGCTATCCACCAGCTGCTTAGGCGCCACTGGCTTCTAAATAGCTTTAAAGAAGTTTTCTGAACTTTACTGAGGAGTAGATGTTAAAATTAGTATTTTGGCTTTAAGTTAAATTAAAATAAAACCCCCAACTTGGCAATGCATTGATGTAATAATGCTTAGTTTATCTTGTGTAAATGTAAACAGACAGGAAAAACATTATTTATACAATATTGCATCAGTAGGTTTGCATGCAGTGTAAATGGTCTAATATACCTTTTGCTGTTTAATATTGCTAATATTGATCAAACAACAGTATATTGATCAATTAACAATATAAAATGAGAAAAACACCCATTTGTTCTTATCTGTTAATATGCAGTGGGGTAATTTATATATTTATTATTTATGTTTAAGCTCTTGAAGATCATGAAATATCATAGTTCATTTTGAGCTCTAGAACTGTTATTGTTAACTTGAATTGTTTGCTACTGTACCTGTCCTGGAAATTGCTCCTTGAAACATGTAAATTCTCCTGTAGCTGTTCTTTTTTTTTGGCTAGAAAAAGAAACTGTCTGCAATTCTGCAATGAATATAAATGTGATGGAGTGGAATAAGAGTAATAAATAGGTCAGATATATAGATTTATTTGATTTTTTGTTTTCTTTTCACAGGTGATTCTGATTCTCACCAAGCTGTATGACTTTCACCTTGGCAGTGTAACGGAAAGCACTTTATGGAGGTGAGCTAAAAGCTACCATCTCTTCCTCTCCCTCCCACATCTCTCCTCCCATCTCAGCTCTTTTCTCATTCTCCATTACATCTATCCCAGGCAAAGTATGTGAGCGATGGAGAGCGGAGTTGCTTGATTATGCCTAGAGTGAGGAGCAATAGTATTCACTTCAGGAACCGTTCCATCTCAACCATGACACTTGCACATCTGCAAGAATTCACAATGTATTAAACAGTCTTAATTGCATATTCACAATTTTAATTTATTGACACATTTTTATGTGGACAACTTATCTTATCTTATCTTTGCCAGTTAAGTATAGCCTGTTTCTTAACTATCTCCATATTTAAAGCAAGAAAAAAAAGCCTTTGACACTGATCCAAGCCATAAAAGTCCTCTACAATCTAAATTCAATTTATTTTGTCGTCCCTTTGCAATCCTTATTGCCTCTGTTAGATTCTCGTTTACCAGTGATTTTGGATGCTTTGTGCAATTGAGAGCGATAGGAGCAGCCTTATCTTTCACACGGTCAACTGAACACTTCAATTTGGACAGAGAGAAGCTTTTGTATTGAGGTGCTTAAGTCTGACGATTTGCGATGACATCTGATTTGAGATGACAAGTGCAGTGCTCTTTTCATGAGCTGCTGTAGGGCAGAAGGGTTTCAAGGTTAATGGGTTTTCTGAGAATACACAATGATTTTCCTAGTAAAGGATGTGTCTTATTCTATGTGCAATATAAGTACAAGCTATGACAGGTCTATGTTACTCCTTAATCGTTGTGCAATTAAGCAATTACTGTGCATTTCGTCAAATTTGGAAAGATAAGTCAATTATACTGTATATAATTCATATTCAGTTTTAAAGAATGTAAGATTTTACACTACAGTACATTGTCCATTTCTCATATGTTATATGTAAATATAACATAAATAACATTAAAATAGCAATTTTATCTGTAAAAGTAGTAATTTTATTTTATTTTATTTTATTTTATTTCTGATATGCATGTAATTTGAAATTATAAAATGCAGAGAAAAAATTAGTTGGAGATGGCGAGAAAGAAATAGAGCAGTTAAACACATTAGCCTTTCCACTTTTAATCAACAGTACCGCAAATGCAAACACAGACCCGACTGTCATGATGAAGACTGAATTCTCACACTGTTGTGTAGTCTAGCCTGCTAAACCCTGTGGATCTGTGCAGCCTCAGTTTTAATACATCACAATGACTGCTCCCACAGCAATGAAAGTAAGTATTGACAAAATGATGGCTTGCTAATACTCAGTTTTCCACAAATCAGGCCTCTGGGGAGTTCTTTGCTCATTTACACAGGCTAACAACAAACATAATTCATGACACCGCCTGCCATTTTCTTTCTGCATTTGCATTTAGCTTTGGTCACTGACGGTGTTTCATGATAAAATACACTTCAGGGCCCACACATCTTCATTCGTAATTGAGATCAAAGTTCAATTAAGATGGAGGTGGGTTTTGAAGGAGCAACTGGTGAAGTTTAGTTCCGCTAGCAGAAAACTAGACAGCTGTTGACTTTTTGAGAAAGGTCAGGGCACGAGCATCGCTCTGAGAAACTCTGTGTCAGTTTTAATGAACAGCATGACCTTAAACAATGGAGCCGGATCAGTCATTTTTCCAGATAATATTCAAAGTGAATGAACCCCTCCTGTGTGTGGATGTGAAGGAAATATCGGTGCCAGTAGAACTGACGCTTGTTTTGCTCAAAGCACTGTGCCTCTGTCTCATGCAAACATCCTGGGTTCTCGGAGGAGGAGGAAACACCTAATACCTTATTTATAATTCATTAGCAACAAATAGATGCAAAACGGAACTCTTAAGTTCTGAAACGTTGTTGCACTTTAATAGGATAGGAGTTAGTTTAAAGGTGCAGAATGTAAGGAATGGGTACTGTAGTCAAAATTTAAAGGGGTCATATGATGCGATTTCAAGTTTTCCTTTCTCTTTGGAGTGTTACAAGCTATTGGTGCATAAAGAAGATCTGTGAAGTTTCAGGAACAGCAGTAGTGTTGATGCAGCCATGTCAGGGAGACGCTGTGTTTCAGTGCGAAAGCAAAATAACTTTATTTGGCCTTCCGGAAGTAGATGCAATTAGGAATCATTGGTTAAGATTTATTTACAACAGAACAGCACAACCCAGATGTTCGAATTTGTGCAACTCATTTTATGGACGACAGTTTTTTGAACCTAGAAGAGTACAAGGCTAGCTGTGCACAAAGGCTATTTCTAAAAAAAAAAAAAGGGTCAATTCCGACTTTGCTATGACAATCTAGCGCTTCTGAATCAGCGACTGTAAGTATGTTTTGTTACTAGTTTAAGTATTTGCTATTGACTGTTCAAATGCAGAGTTTTG